TTGTCTAACATATGCACTTAAACTTACTAATTAAGGTATTTTTAATTAATTTTATATCAATTTTTATATTAGATTAATATTTTTTTTATAAATTTCAAGTATAAATTTTATATTTTATTTTAATTTTAAATTTTTAAGTTATATCTTATTTGAATCTTATATAAAATTTTATACAAAATTAATTATAAATACTGTAGTTAAGAAGAAAATCCCTTAAAAAATATAAAGAGACAAAAATAAATTTAAATTGCTAAAAGTAAGCGACTAAATTACAAATTTATCATAAAAGAAAAAGGAACTTGGCAGACGGACCTGCTAATTAAGGGATCGGGCCCCCAAGCATTCCTCCCCCCCCCTTTTTTTTTTCCTGCCTTGTGGTATGAGTAATGGATTATTATTGTTATTTTTTTGATAAAATCTAATATTGTCAGTACTTCCACCTCAAAATAATTGTATTTTGAACTTTTTTTCACATATTAAAAATTTGACAACAATTTACATACTCCATGTCCAACTTTAGTTGGGCTAGTTATTTTTTATTTAATAAAACAAAGATATAATAATTAAAATGATAAAATTTTATATTAATTTTTAATTAATTATTATTTAAATAATTTTTTTGTTTAATATATATTGTAATTATTTTTTAAAAACAAAGTTAAAATAAAAATTAAAACATCAAATAACATTTTTTTAAGAAAAGAGTAAAAACTAAATTTAAGCACACTAAGTTAAATATTAGAATTATTAAAATTAACTAAAACATTTATTTAATTGTTTTACCTTCCAAATAAAATTGTTTGATTTAGTTATTTAACTTTTTATTTTAATGAAAAATTAAATTAAATATTAGTAGTATTTTACTTTTATCATTACCTTAGAAGGGATAAAAATATATCAGGATTTTTTGTTAAATTATAAAAAGTGTAAATAAAAAATAATTTTAAATTATTATAATAAATAAATTTCTTAATAATTATATATATAAAGTGATAGACCAAGGAGTATAAAAATAAAAAAGAAAATTTTAGTACTATAATATATAATTTATGTTAGGATCTCCCTGGAAAATTGAAAAGATAGACATAATTTAGTATAAAAAACTTACCATTTTTTTTATAATAGAAAAATATTTGAGTATCTCATTAAAAAAAGCATTATTATATTATGTTCATTTTGCAAGGTGACTACTTTCAAATGTGGAGGAATCTCCCTCGGTGTTTGCAGTCATCATACCTTGGCAGATGGGTCATCAGTATTCCACTTCATCAACAGCTGGTCTAAGATGGCTCGAGGTCATTCCCTTAGCATTTCGCCTTTCATTGACCGTACCATCCTACAGTCCTTGATGTTACCAGCTCCTACATTCCACCATGTTGAATTTGATCCTCCTCCTTCTATGAACACCCCCATCTCAAGTCTTAGAAGCGCATGCTTATTCAAGATCACAAAAGATCAACTTAACAACCTACAAGCCAAGTCCAATAAGGGTGGAGACACTACAAGGCATAGTAGTTACAGTATCCTCGCTGCACATGTATGGCGTTGTGTGAGTAAAGCGCGAGGCCTCTCAGACGATCAACCAACAAAGTTATTTATTCAAGTCAATGGAAGGCCAAGATTCCGTCCTCCCCTCCCACCAGGCTACTTTGGCAATGTTATCCTCTCAGCTTCAACAATTGCTTTAGCTGGTGATCTGCTGTCAGAACCATTCTCAAATACAGTGGAAAGAATACATAAAACACTAAAGCAGTTCGATAATGCATACCTCAAATCAGCTCTTACCTACATGGAGAAAGTGCCTTCAAAACTAACAGCCTTACCAGGAGAAAATACCTTCCAGTGCCCAAACCTTTACATCAATAGCTTGTGGAGGTTTCCCACATATGATGCAGATTTCGGGTGGGGTCGTCCTATTTTCATGGGAAGGGCAACAATAGGTGAAGGAAAGTCATATATACAACCAAGTCCAACAGATGATGGTAGCGTGACATTGATGATAGGCTTAGAGGCTTCTCACATGAAGCTCTTTCAGACGCTCTTTCAAAAGCCTATTTGTAAGTTGTAACTAATGATCCCTCATGGCTTCCTAACTATGAGGGTGCATTGTCTAGGAATAATGATTAGTGTTATATTTTGTACTTTAAACTATAAAATAAAAACTTTTAAATAAGAAAAAAACTCTAATATTAAGGGGACAAGGATCACCTCTCATCTTAAAATCTTATAAAACAATTTTTTGAAAAAAGATTTTTTCTAAGAAACTATATTCCAAAAAATAATCATATTATCCTTGCCAAGTCACTCTTTCTTATTCCAGCGGCAAATGTTTTTTAAAAACAATTTTAGGTACAGAATAATATATATTGCCTTGAACTTAAGAAACTGGCCTAGGATAACCATGTGGAAAATGATCAGGCAAACGAAAGTGCTAGGATTCAACTAACGTCATTGCACCAGGCACATCACGAAAGCAACAAAATGCAACAAAACATATAGTAAATCGATTGCAAAATTGAAGGATCACCATCATGGGACATTAATAAGAAAAGAGGGAAAATGGCATACAGTTTACAAGTAAATTATGGATAGCCATATGAACAAGCGTACAGATGACAAAATCTGTATAAACTACTTTATCTCGAGAATGAAAAATCTAAGAAATACACACAGTTTTAGCCAAATTGTGAATCATAGGTTCTCATTCTATGCAAATTCAAGGCTAAATACTCAGGGTCAGGGTATAACAAAAGTCTTCAGAAAAGTTTGGCTGACCAATCCAGAGAAGCCAGTGAAGGTAAAGCGATTCTAATATTGCCAAAGTCACGACATCATTTAAAATTGGCTTCAATCAGGGACATTTCTTGCAGAGCATTTTACAAAACCTAACCTATATAAGCTGCTTCCACATGTGACTTTGGGCTATAGTGATCAGTGATTCTTTCTGAAAGTTAAATCTCCTATAAAAGCCGAATGGGATCACTTTTCAATGTTTAAAGGACAGCATATTGACAAAGAACCAAATTGTTGCCTGACTGGTTCACCATGCAACCTAATCAAAGTTTAAAGGCTGATTTTCGAAAACTAAAGGACCCGGTACGTACAGTGGAACCGTCTATAGGTGTCAAACGTACGCGGAGGACCTTGCAGTGCCATGGAATAGTGGAGACATTACTTGTACCCCCCTAGCCACGTCGGTGACAGGTCGGAAGCTCAGATATGGACACGTACGCGGCAGTTTTCCAAGCAGACCAGTATACCACCACGTTGGACAACTTCCTCACTCAAATGGTAAAGATTTTTCTCTCCATTTTCCCCTCCTTCTCTCTTCCTTTACCACCCCCGCCCCCCACCCCAATCGCAATATTGTTGAGTTTGAACGTGTTGGAGTGTGTGCCCGCATCGATTTCCAGCCTTCACCCACGGAGATATCGACACACCTTTCCTTAAACCAAAGGATATTTCAATTCTACCCACTGCAGCCAATCTTAGATTATCAGTTACATATTACAACCAAGTTAATGATACAATTAAGTTTCACTAAAAGCACATGTTTCTTTGAGATGAATTTGAATCCCCTTGTATATATATTGAAAAATTAAGGCTTAATTTAATAAACAATCTACTAACTTTTTTTTTTTTTTTGTCTGCTATATTTAGATACTTTTAAATTCATCTACTATTTTTTATTTTTATTTCAGTTCAATTTAGTCTATTAACTTTCTAATAGTAGTTTCACTCCATTTGATCAAATTGATCTTTAACCATATTTTTTGTTAATATTTACTCTTTGAAATTAATTTTAAGATAAAACTAATTTTGCAAGAATAATAAATTCTTTTTTATTGTCTAAAAAATTATAACTTTTATCAAATATTACTTCAGCTTTCCTTTCAACAATTTTCTTTTGAAACAAAAATCATAATTATTGACATATTTTAATAGTTTGTTCAATCTGGCGTAGGCTGTTTTGCTGACTAAGATTACTTTGGTTTAATTTTGATTTAACTTTTTTGTTATTTTTCTATTAAAACTAATAGAAGTTTTATATAGTAAATTATTCTGAAATATTTTACAAAATTTATAAACTATTTAGAAAGAAAACTCACTTTCTAGACTAAGATGGAATTGGACTAACAATTAATAGACTAATCATTGAATTAAGTCAAAATTAATATTAACATTTTTGGCAAAAGAAAAAATATTTATCTAATTTGTGTCCTTAAAAACAAGATATGCAATAAATTTCACACATCTCAAGTTTTTTAAGTTTTTGGGGCTATACAATGGAAGAATAAACCCCTCCTTATCTTAATCTTTCTTCACATTGTTAGAAATTTTCTATTTGTGGGTTTTTATTAATTGGTGATTTTAATTTAATAAAATAGATTAACTTGTTCTAGTTCAAAATATTAAAATATTTATGAGAAACCCAATTATTGTGATCATTTGTGTGTGGGGTCAGAACATTTCGTGAGTATAATGTAGAAATGGCTAGTGTAAGCCCAAATCTAATAGGCCCTTTATGGAAGAGATTAGTATTAGAGTTCTTATATAAATTAAAAGTTAGGTCCCTCTTTACACAAATTGTTTGTTCAATATCTATCCATTGAGGGTCGTCAAAAGGAAAATTAATTTCTACTAAATCTATAGAGTATCAATGAAGCGTCATATCAAATATACAATTTATCTAATTTATTATATTTTATTGCCTTAAATTCTACTCCTTTAATTCTACCACACACATCTCAAGGTTTTCAAGTTTCAAAAAAAATATATTAAAGTTGCATTGATATTTGATATTTAGAATTAAACTCAACGACGAGGCATGTGGTAAATTTCGCAGGTAAGGGACTCCCAGTTTTATACCAGCTAAAATATCAATATTTATTTTAAAATATTATATTTATATTGTAGTTAATTATATACATCTAAGTTAATGACAAAACCATAAGTTAAGCCCCTTGAACTAACCCCAGAATCGCTATTAAGCCCCCAAACTTTAATTGAAGCATATAAACCCCTGAACTTTGCGATCGATGCAATTTATCCCTTCTTCTTACGGCCAACTTAACTGCCGTTAGGGGACTCGCTTGCATGGCAAAATTTTGCCATGTCTTGCCAATGTGGCAAGTGATTTAGCATTTGGGTTGTCCACTTGCACAAAAAAAAGAAAAAGAAAAAGAAAAAAAAGAGTAAAACAAAAAGCAAACATAAAAGGAAGCCTTCGGTCTACTTCATCTTCCCTGATCCCCTGAGCTCCACTTCCTAAGTAAAGCAGAGAGATTAGTGATTAGGGTTTTTTCCAAAACAATTAGGGTGGTTTTTAGGAACGATTAAGGCTTCTTTCTGGGAACAATTAGGGGTTTTGGGAACCTAAAAGCATCTTTAGTTGGGGATTTGGGATTCGAAATAATCTGGGATTAGAGTTTGAGTCACTATACTATATCATGAGTCAATCTATGGCATCCCATTCTCAAGGTTCTGAAGCAACAAGTGGAAATAGGGGTGGGTTTTCATACCTGAGTTCAACTATGAAAGAAAGACTTGATTCTGCCACTGTGGTGTTGTGTCTCCAAGGAAGACAACATGGATTGAACCACATGCAGGAAGGAGGTTGTATGGATGCTGCTACTTGCGGTTTTGTTCCTTTGAGCTATATGCTAATACTATATACATTAATTTTTTTGAAAATTTTATTTATAAAACCTATCTCTCTCTCTCTCTCTCCCTCTCTCTCTCTCTCTCTCTCTCTCTCTCTCTCTCTTTGTTTTATATGATGATAAATTGATAGTGAAAGCATTTTCTTTGAATGGCATGATGGAGAAACTGTTGGAAGAGCATATGATGTGATCTGGCATTTGAAAGAGGAAAATGAATGGTTGAAGTCTCAATTGAAAAGGGTTCCAAGAAGATAGGGAGGTAACCTGAGTCATGTTGAAAATTGCATTAAGAATCTAAGGGCTGATTTGAGGGAAATAGATTTTGAAAGGTGTACTGAGATGCTAAAGGATGAAATGGCCAGGGAGTTGGAGTGCAGGATGAAAGCGATGGGTGATGGTGTTTGTGTTGGAGTTGAGAATTCAGTTAGGAGGTTGATTAAGAATTTGTTGTTGATTATTTTAGTTGTTGTTGTGGTTATTATAGCATTTGTTTATGGTCAACTATAAAATGGCCAATTCCTAAACTGTTTTTGTTATGCTACTCTTTTTGTTAAGCTAGAAGGTGGTAGTTAATGTAGACATTGGTAGCCATGTAGGGTTTTGTATGTGTGAATGTAAAGCAGCCATGTCTCTTGTCATGTAAAGCTAAAAGGTGGTAGTTAATCTGTATCCATATTCTACCTTATCAATGACAAAATGCTTTTGTTATAAATGAGCCTTTACTTTTTATAATGTTCAACTAACAATGTAAATGACCATTTGCAATAAACTGCTTGAACAATGAAAAGAATAAACTAAATAAGCATTTGCTTTCACAGTGACTGAACAATACACATTTACTTAAATTTTTGCATCCTTTCTTATAAACTTAACATTGTTTCATAGCTTAACATAGCACTTGTACAAAGTGCATGAATAAAAACAAATCATGCCCAAATATAGTTCATCACCACAATAAAATCTTGTCATAAATAACAAGAGCTATGACAGCTAATCTATAGCACTGCAGAAGTGCAAACATAATTAAAAAGCTACCCAAAAATTCTGCAACGCACAAGACACAAACTTCAGCTGCCTAAGAATTCTCTAGTGCACAAAAGACACAAATTTTGGTTGCCAATAAATTCTCCATTACACAAAATACAAAAACTTCAGCAATATAGCATAATTAAAAGGCTTCAAAATGCTGCCAAGAAATTATCTTTAGCCAAACTCATGTTATCTCTAGTTGGGGGCATCACAAAAATGTTCCTTTGCTCTGTTGAAGGACATCCACTGTTGTAATTGAAGGAGCTGGGCCTTCACTACTGCTTTGTGCAGTTTGCTCATTTATAGCTTCTCTAATTGTTACATTTGTATGCAGTCTAGGCAATAAATAATTAAGCATATTAGTAAGCACAATTAAATCACTAACATACCAAACTTAATAACACAGCATATAATAAATAAATTGGATACTCACATGCTAAATCATTGCACCAATTTGTATGCCACTTTTTGAACTTTTCTCTTTTTACTTCTTATTTTTCCCACTCTCATAATTAACCTTTGCTTTTTCCTTTCTTATTTGCAAATGAAGATTGTGGTTGCTCAAGTGAAACAATCTGTAGTCATTAAAAATTAATAAGCTATGCTATTTAAAATGACAATAAATTATAAAGCATAAAACTAGAACAAATGAAAAAAGGTGATACCTTGTTTTTAGTGTTTTCAACTGGTGATGTTAAGCAAGATGGGGCATTTAATGCTTATGAAGGATTGACATTTACATTAGTCTTAACTTGTAGACATAATTAAAACAGATTGTTAATTAAAAATAGTATTATAAATTAAATTAGTAATGTAAATAAACATAACACTTACAACTAACAGCTTTAGGTTTTTTATGCTAAGTTGCTGATGGTCTCCTTTTTTACCCGTTTGTTGATGCAATAGCTTGACGCATCTACAATGCATTGACATTTAATTTAGTGCATTTCACACAGCATTATTAAAGAAAATGTTTGATAAATAAATAACAGTTGTTGACTTACTTGATTAATCAATTTGAAAGGACAAGATGATTTGTTATGTCCTCCTTGTTTATAATTAGAGCAAGTCATGACTCTTCCTTTCCTTGAGAGTATAACTACCTTAGACACTTTTTTGGGCTCATCTTTGGATTTTCTCCTATTTTTCTTTGTCCTTCTAAGCCTTTTTCTAACCGAGGGTGGATTCAAAGGCTCACCATGAAATTTTTTCCATGACTTATCCCCACACATTCCCTTTATAGGGAAGCCACAAGTTAGTGCATACTTCTCCTTCTTGTACTAGTCAACAACAAAGTCTTCAGGTACCAAATTTTCATGGTACATACAACATATAACATGTGGACAAGGTATGCCATTCATTTGCCAAGTTCTATAAGTGTAGGTTCTCTTCATCAAGTCAACCACATGTTTGTTACTATTTTCCAACCATACATGTTTCACCTCAAATCTAGTTCTTCCATCACAAACCAATTTCCATGAAGATGACTCTTTTTTTGTTGGCCTCTAACTCTTTTCTAGCCCTTGGTGCAATAACACCTCTCCATTTGGGAATGGATGCATATTTTTCACAAATTCTCTCCCTCACTTGAGACCTTAAACTATCAACCATGGAGATAATAGCCCAGTACCTTGCTTCCATAACCCAAAAATTGAAAGACTCACACATATTGTTGTCAACCACATCTCATAAAAAGATGCCCTGCACCATTTTTTTGGATCACATCTTTGCAAATCTGTCCAAGCAACCTCAAATAGCTTCTTGAACAACATCATTTGGTGCTCATACTCCTCTGGCCAACTAGCTTGAGCAATAGCCTAGAATCTTATTTTAAATTCCTCCCCTCCCCAAATCTTTGCCCAGTTTGCATATACATGCCTTACATCGTATATGTGCTTTGCATATGGAAAAACAGCTTCCCTTGCTGATATTATTCCCTAAAAGCATATTAAAATAAGTCAAGACATAATCAACTAGTTAATGGAATAAAATATGCATCATTAAGTACAAATTATTAGTTAATACCTGGTGCATGTTTGATATTATTGTCAAATCCATTCCTTCACCAAGTTCTATGCCAATATTCAATAACTCCATGAACCATTGCTATTTGTCTTTGTTTTCAATGTCAACCACGGCCCAAACTAATGGGAACATTTAATTATTC